CCGCCGTCACCGTCACATGCAGCCGGCTGTTTGCCGTCAACCGCTGGCACAACACAGTCGGTGAGTGGGTCATACAAACAAGTTCTGAACGTTTACAAGTTACACCGTTACACAGCGGGACATTACGTACGGCAGAATGTTAGGTCGGTGTATTTATAAGTAAGGGAACAGAAAACGGATATGCTAAAATGTTCATATTTGATATAAATGAGATAATTTACCAGGCAAAACAAAACACCTGCTGGTTCCGTGTCTTTATGTCACACACATAATAACATAATTAATAAATGAAGACTGTGGGAGCCTACACTACCATTTCAGTGGTAGTTATAGAGACAATTTGAACTGTATTATATTAGCGTTTACTCTTATTTTGTTCACATGTTGGCTGGGAAATATTACTTAATCAAATCCTCAATTGACCCTTAATAACCTCATTAGCACAGTGGATTATGTTTGTTGATTTTCTTTGGTAACCTAATTATGGAGGGTCACAAAGCAAAGGGACTTTTGTCATTGAGGCTTTTATTTATTTATTCTTTTACATAAGCCAGGATCTTTCCGATCTTTCATCACGGCCCTAAAGCAGCAGATTATATGAGAGGTTGTAGTCGAGTATTTATCCTAGATTATGTTTGGTTCTGATGTGTGTCTGGGTGACTGTATTGTTTGACTCTGACATCCTTTAGGCCTCCGCGGAGCTCCAGGATACTCCCTCGAGCAGGCTCATCATCTACCCATTGAGATGGACCCTCTTATAGGTCAGTGCACAAATCTCCACTAGCAGATCTAATTAGTGGGAGATAATGGTCATATTAAGGACTTGAGTCAACACATCACATCCTACACTGGGGATAGATGTGCATATATTACAAAGACACAAGCTGCAAAACCCACCTGAGGGATGAAAGATCCGGAGAGGTTGGAGTTGATTTGATAGCTTGTGAACCATATTGCATTTGTATGTCCTTATTAACCTACCGACATCTTTGCGCTCCCTCATAGCAAACAACTCGGGCGTGAACAAGCGGCAGATCACCGACCTTGTGGACCAAAGCATCCAAATCAACACGCACTGTTTTGTGGTTACTGCCGACAACCGCTACATTCTGGTCTGCGGCTTCTGGGACAAGAGCTTCCGTGTTTACTCCACTGAAACTGGTACATTTTCTATTATTCATGTAATTCTGTCAGAGGTGCTAGTTTGAAAGATGACCACGAAGACTCACACATTTTCAAGTTTATTTAGATTTGTGGTTCAATTTATTAATCGAAGGGACATTTAGAACGCTCTTTAATCATTATGATATATTTCTGTATTTATTCCCTGACGTGCTTGTTTAGCCTCGTTCTCCTTCCTCTCCGCAGGAAAACTGACCCAGATAGTGTTCGGCCACTGGGACGTAGTGACGTGTCTGGCCCGGTCAGAGTCCTACATCGGCGGAGACTGCTACATCGTGTCGGGCTCCAGGGATGCCACTCTTCTTCTGTGGTACTGGAGTGGGCGGCACCACATTATCGGGGACAACCCTAACAACAGTGAGTGTTGACGCGTTGGAATCAACACGTGGGATTGTTGGGCCTCACTTCCTGCTTCATGAATGCGTTGAGAACAGGATCTTGGCGGCTCATAACTCTGGTCTATTCTTGCAGGTGACTATCCTGCTCCCAGGGCGGTGCTGACAGGACACGACCACGAGGTGGTGTGTGTGTCCGTCTGTGCAGAGCTAGGATTGGTCATCAGTGGGGCTAAAGGTTTGTGCGTGGAGAAATGTAAATTCAGATTTATTTTTTAAGGGTTAAGCTGATATTTCAAAATAAAATAGTTAATATATTTCAAAATAAAAAGAACCACGGAACATTTAGACTAATTTCACCAAAACTATTGTTATCTGTCTTGGTCTTGTTGCTCAGAGGGCCCGTGCCTGGTCCACACCATCACTGGGGACCTGCTCAGGGCGCTGGAGGGGCCAGAGCTGTGTCAGCGACCTCGCCTCATCTCAGTGTCCAGCGAGGGCCACTGCATCATCTACTATGAGCGAGGTCGCTTCTGCAACTTCAGCATAAATGGAAAACTGCTGGCACAAATGGAAGTCAATGATTCCACACGGGTAAGGCTGCATGAGTTGATAACGGGGCATTCTTCTTGGTGCGTCCGTGCATGGATAGATGAGAACTGGACTTGTGACCGAGTGCCGCTCTGTTCTTCCGACCACTCAAAGAGCTTCACAATACATCACTTTTAACCCCTTCGCACACAGATATTCATGCAGTGCACTAATCTCTGGGGTTTGAGGTTCAGACTCTCAAACCAGCGTATCGACCAGCCATCCTTCTAATTTAGTGGACGACCTGCTCTACCAGCAACACGCCGGAGCCCTTGACCCCCCCCCCACTGACCGCTCTCCGTGTGTGTGTGTGTGTGTGTCTGCCTCCAGGCGATCCTGTTGAGCAGCGACGGACAGAACCTGGTGACCGGAGGCGACAATGGCGTCGTAGAAGTGTGGCAGGCATGCGACTTCAAACAGCTTTACATCTATCCAGGCTGCGACGCAGGCATCCGTGCCATGGACCTCTCACATGACCAGAGGTAAAACAGACAGGGGGGGGGGGGTGAACTCTGACAGGGGGGGATGGAAGTACACTGGGAAAGTTATTTAACCCAAAGCTCTGATAATATCCGAGGCCCAATGTAAACAACGTAGGGACAATGTACATTGAATGATGCCATGCGACCTTAAAAAGAATGTCTATATTTTATGTGAGTAGTTTGGTTTGCAGAGGTGACGTTGTGTGTGCGCTCCGCCCGCAGGACTCTGATCACCGGCATGGCGTCTGGCAGCATCGTGGCGTTCAACATAGACTTCAACCGCTGGCACTACGAACACCAGAACAGGTACTGAGGTGGACGGCATGCGGAAGAGGATGGAGAGAGAAGAGAAGGACAAAAGAGAGGGGAGGTGAAGCGCTCTGCCGCGTATCTGCGACGTAGGGAAACTAAAGGTACCGGACCTCAAGTTTACTTGATTTGAGGATGCGGCAGCGATGGTGGAAATACCTTCCTCTGCGCACATGTGCACGTGCACACGTGTGTAGCCACAGACACATACTAGCCCCCGAAGATTGACACCAAAAGCTGCAGATAAGATAGAGCGCAGAAGGGTGAAAGAGAGCGAGTGAAGCAGAGCCGGTAGAGGTGGATCACACCACTCACAGGACTGGTGCAGTTGATGCTCCTGATACGCTTGATGCTTCACAGACAAAGAACTGAGTTTTTGATTTCCCCTTGTATATTTTTTTTAATTTCTTCTTCTTTATCATTATTGTTTTAGACTTTTCGTTTGAGGGGGAGTTTAGTCTGGGAATTATTTGGTGGACTTTAAATTAAAACTCCTTCATTGTGTCGTTAGAAATGGTCAGAAATGATCTCGCCCTACTCACTGCTTTAAAAAACAAAACGGTGCTATTGGCTTGATCTTAAAATTCACCCTTGAAAAATGGTTATCATTTTATTTGATTGTATCTTATTTGTCTTTTAAATTTTATTTCACGATATGAATTCCAGTTCTTTTTTCTTTGACCCGCAGCAGGGTTAAATCTGATTCTTATGTAAATAAGGCTGTGCTTCCTGCAGAGTCTACACGTGTTCTTTCACTACACAAACTGCGCTTATCACCTTTAATTTATTAATGACTTGCTGTATGTAAAATATTGTCTAATAATTATTATAATGTTGACATAACTGATGATGATAACGGCAGTGTCCAGGATGTTGATCGCTTTGTCAGAGATAGTAATGATAAAGAGAACCTTCCAGTGCCACCAAGTATGACAAACACAAGACTGACGGGATTTCCTTTGTATATTTGGTGATTGTTTTGTCAAATATGTACATATAGTCTTGGTTCAAGCTCGGCAGGAGACTCAAATCAGCTGAATGAGACTGAAAGCGCAAAGGAAACCTTCACTTACCCACATTTGTTGATTATTTAAAAGAAGAGAATCAAATCAATGTCAAAGTTTGTTTTGTATTTGCACTTTGCACCAATCACACGTCATTATTTATTAGCTTGGTTCTTTCTGGTCGGCTGCCATTTTGTTTAGGTCCATTTTCCCCTTCGGGATTATTTGTGCATTGATGTTTGTATTTAAAGCGTTGAGCTCATGTGTGATTATTAGGTTTTACAACCTCACAGTTGTAAGCAATATCATGATTCTGTAGCTGATAGAGGTGGGGAGGAGGGGGGGGGCGAGGGGATGAAATGTGAGGTGTACCGTATGTGTGAAGCCATCTTGATCAAATGCGCACATGCACATACTCTATCGACAGGTTCCACTTACGTATCCAAAAAAAGGTTAAATATTTTTGGATCTATGAAACCCTAAAAAAAAACTATTGTATTCATGTTTTATTGCAAAGATGTAAAATATGACATGTGTGAGTTGAAAAAAAAAAATCATGATAAGAAAAATAAAATATGCAAAGAATTTCATGCCTTGAATTTTCATTGCTCACGTGTACCGTTTCACTGAAAGGTTTCTGAAAGGTTTCTGTTTATCCTCAAGACGCGATCGCTGCCCGGAGAGTGAAACGTCAAGGACGACCGATCGTAACCATTCAGGAGTCTGAAAGATGTCTCCCCTCCTCCAATGGTTTCAAGAGACTCTTGAGTTAAAAGGTTTCCCTCTAAAAACCTTAGAAATGTTAGTTAATAAAGTTCCACTTCCAGCACTCGCTAGATGCCTTTTCCCCCTGAGGAGCCTGGTTCTACATTTTTTCTCTTTCCTTCTATCAAATCCATGAAACAACTGAAGCCTCCATGAAGCCCCTTAGAACTGTAAACTCCGGAGCGAGTCATCATGATTGAATATTTCACAGGTTATACTGTTGTTGTGCTCATGGTGCTGGATTCTTTATTTTACCAGATTTTAAAACATCTGATTTAGTAGAACCAGTTATCAAGTAGAGAACATAAATCGAAATATCATCCTTGCAAGCGTTGAAGGACAGAAAGTGCAGAGTGTTTATTGAACCCATGGACCAAAGTCTGATTCACAGTCACAAGGTAGCAGAGCAGATCATGTGAGTGTCCGTATAAGTATGAAGACAAAAGTCACCTAAAAAAGTATTTTATCTCTTTTGTATTCTCACTCTATTGTGTATCTGTGTTTGCAGGACTAAAACTCCAAATATAAGCAATATATATTATATATACATGCACAGTATAATGTGCTATAATAAACAACTCAATTTTACTTCCTGGTTAACTTCAAATCAGACATTGTGTGACTATTTCCAACTACATTATCTGGAGATCTTGACGCAGTCGCTGACCTGCAGAGGCTTGTTTGTGGCCCTGTAGACGTCTTTGGGTGTTATTGAATTCTTTCAAGTGTCAAGAGAAACTACGTCTGCCAGGATTAAAACAAAACTGAGGAGATACTGCAGCTTCAATTCCAATGCCTCTGTCTCTATGGAAACTGTATTAAGACGCCACATACGCGGACAGGCCCAGTTTGATGAGATTATGGCACTTACAACCTGGTCTGTAGTTGAAGTCCGAGGCCAATCACCTGTCTGAGACACAAACCTCATTTCTTTCTTCACATCTACAGGAGGATGTTTCGTGCATCGTCGGATCCCCAGGAGACTTTTGAAACAATCTGGTACGTGTTCAGCTTTAAGGTATCTCACTGTTTATAATGGTAAGTTGTTAAGCATCCCAAAGCCTGACTAAACAACTGGAACGCAATCATGCCGTCCTGCCCAAAGCAATGCTCTTTAAAATTTATTACGTGATCAATTCTAAACTTTACAATCTACAGACACCATGAGACATACTGTACAAACCTGGAAGCAATATTATCATCCTACTTAAACTATGACTATAACTATAAGTACAAATGACCAAAACGAAGAGGAAAGATAATAGTTCCTCATTAAGCTTTTTTGTCTGTGGAGACAAAACGCTTCCTCGGGTTAATTTGTCTTCCTTGTTGAAATAAGGCATGGGAAGGTTCTGTCACTTTCACTCAAGGCCGCCGCTTCATTTACCCTGTGCTTATGGAAAGTGCATGGACACACCCGACTTGCCGATCCATCGGGGATAGGAGACGCGTGCGTTGGCTGTAATCCCGTACCGTCCCCTTCTTTGTGTTTCTTGTGTGGATTTGTCACCGCGAGGAGGTGCTGGGTCTCCATGTCCCCTTGTGTGTGTCTGTGCATGCCGGCCTGCTCCTGCATAGGGACACAGCGCGCTGTGCCCACCTGTCTCCCTCAGGCTGACAGCGAGGAGATGGTGGACCTATGCGACGAGATGCTGCAGATCTCCATGTTGGTGAAGGAGCTGCCTCCCTCGCTGCTGCAGTCGGGGACAGAGGAAGAGGAGGAGATTATGTTCTTCAGCCTGTGGAGGGAGATGATGAGCAGCGTCAGCAGGAAGACCAGCAGGCCGAGGAAGAGCCACACGTAGACGTACAGGTTGCCCTGACGTCCTGGTGAGGACGCGGACGCGGAGGTGGAGGCGGAAGTTGGGGAGAAGCGGAGGAAGGCCCCGTCATCCATGGGGGAGATTCCAGTGTCATTGTGGTCCACCGACGAGACGTCCATCCCTGACATCCTGGCTGACGTCCTGCACCACTCTGCACGAGAGAAAAAGAAAAATGAGCGAGATTTATTGTTTAACCACAGAAACCTCAGCATTTATAATATATATATAAGAAAATCTCTTTTGTCTGTGGAATCTGCCACAGATTGTTTCGTCTCCCTCCAGGACACTTGTGCCCGGCAGATGCTCACTAAAAAGAGAGCTTTCACGTTGATTTTATATAAATAAATTTAGACGTGGCCCCCCTACGATAAATACATCTGAAAAATACTCTAAAAACTGCAATTTAAAAAAAGATTTGAATGTATTTGTAGCAGTGAACTACGCATAGAGGTGCAATGTCTTATTTGGAGTACCAGCAGGGGGAGCGCTCGCCCCGTCGGAGGGGCCCAGAGCCACGTGCGCGCTCATAAACTAAGGCTTTCTTATCTGATGAAATTAAACTCCTCATAATCAGCTTTCACAAAGGCAGCTGAGAGCCTTCCCTCCTCCACTGCAAATTAATACCGCTAATAACGTCCCACTGCAAATGGCTGCGAGGCGCACGACTGACAAGAGGATGTGACTGTGCTTCTGTCATGTAGCAACTTGCACACAGTCCTTCTGATGGTGAGAGACCGGGAGCCAGCAGGGCTGCGGTGTGTCTTGATTTGATCGGAGAAAGAGACTTCAAAGAGGGGGGGGGGGGGGGGGGTGATGATTGACCATGACCGGAATGAAAGCAGGGCCCCCCTTTGACTCGCAGTGGCGTGTGCTCATTTCGCTCCTCTCTCCTGCTTTTCCCTCCATTTCATGGTTGTGCGCCTGAGCTGAACCACACGAGCCCCTTCAGATGCATGAACTGCACGCGCCACAGACTTAATAGACCATTTTCCACGGGGGAGCTAGTTAGAAGACCCTTATTTAAAACATTTGGTAGTTTAAATATATAACGTTGCTTTGGTTACGCGTGAGAGCATTGTGAATGAAAAAAGGATGACATTTGTCATGCAAACTGTACAGCATTAGGTATTCTATTGCTGCGCTTTAGCGACTGTGCACTTGCTATACTGCCTGAATTGTTGATGCTAGAAGAAGCAAAGGTAACCAGGCAAAAAAAGTCGTTTTCAACCCATAAAACACTTGATGGGAGAATTTTGTGGAGCGTGCAGGCAGGAAAATTCATATATTTAATGTGGTGTTTGAAAACTTGAAGGTATTTTATCCCATATTTGAGAGCCAAATAATTTAATTCTCTAGATATGATTTTACTGAGTATTTTCAGTAATGGTCCTTGCCAGCCGTTTGTTTGGTTTGCCGCTCTGTCCTTCTGAACTCCTCCACTCCCTCTCATTCTGTTTGTTTCTCTCTGCACGATACAGTTGACAGGACCTCCACCTCCAGGGCGACGCACAGCGTCGTGAGGAAGGAGAGTCTGGCTGTGATTGCATGCTCTCTTGCCCCAACCCAAGTTTTCCTTATCAAATACTCCCAATGAAAAACTGCTTCTTTTTTCACTTTGCATTCTATTTTTCTCGTACAGCTTTTTCTGAGTTGCGTTGTGGTATTTACTGCACATGCATCGCCATTCCCTCATTCTGCTGCAATCTAGCTGTTCATCATTCAGCGTTTTTTATCGTCCCCGATCATCACCTTCAATCTGTGTATTTGTTGAAAACATACAAATTGATATGTACAACAATTAGAGAATGTGATGAAGAGTTGCAGACGTCCTCGATTTCGTTATTCGTCCTTAATACATTATAAGGAGAAAGAAATACTCATATAGTCAAATATTCAGAAAATTAATATCCTGATATTCCTGAACTGGTTTTAATTGCTGATAGTGGTGTAAAAAAAAAGGTTCACTTGTAACTGTAACTTAGGATATATGATTGTAATTGTGAAAATGTGTCAATCATCAGTCATTTGGCAGAGGAGTCCATGAATAGGACACTGAACTCCCGCCTGCGCCCTCGTTTTCCATCTCTCTTCCCTAATTTCTTCCAGTCTGCCACCATTTTCTGTATAGATTGGTGTCGTTAATAATATGTTGTTTTCATATCTGTGATGAAGCTTGTTCATCGTTGGCTGAAGTGGCAGATAATTGGGCTTAATGATGCTTTTTGTATCCAGGCAACAAGGTATGGTGAGTTCTTTTTCAGGCTAATCTACTTTAAGAGGGCGAGCCGTGCAGTCTGAAGAGGTCAGACGAACGCACGCACCCACACACACACACACACACACACACACACACACACACACACGCCTACATTAAGCAGTTATTTATTTATTATTTTTCTTAGAAATAGCTACAATCCCAATACCAAGAACACCAAGGACTAATTCGAAAAGTGGTGCTTCCCTATTGAGAGAAACTATGGATGTGCTGAAGATGTGTTGGCTTTTTTTTAATGATTCATTCTCGTCTCCCGGTCGTCAGCGACCTTTGTCTGCTGACCAGAGTAAATATTCAGCCCGCCTTATGAGGATGTGCTGGTATAAATGTGTGTATGTCAGGGTAATTGAGTCAAAGACATAATTCTGGTTTAACTGTTGCTTAACCTTAAGGTTCTGTGTGGGTCTTGAAGCCCTCCGGTCTTCTCTAACAACATAAAACAACGTCAGCTTGACGCATCGATTAAAAAAACAAAAAAACAGTCTTGCTCAGTCTGAAAGGTGTGATGTTCATACACCTTCCTGTGAGCTGGTTCAGGTTGAGAGAAGTCTGACTGGCCTTCAAAAGCCACCGCCTGTCAAAAGAGCCGCTCATTCTTTGAGTTGAGGATGGGTGGGTGAATTGAAGGAGTAGCTGCAGGTGGAGTTCTGCCTCTCAGACCTCCTCTTTCTCCTGCTTCAAGCCCATCGACGGCCACGCTGCTCTTCCCTTTCAGTGCCGGGCTGTGACGTTTTTTCAGATCTGTTCTTGAATTTTTCTGTGGACACCACCCTCTCAGCTACGTCAAGAGCTTTTTTTGTATTACATCTTTCTTTTACAGTTTTTATTCAGCTGAAGCTTACAAGCTACAATAAGTGCATTGAATCCAGAGGGAATTGAACCGGAACAACAAGAAAGTACAATCTGGCATGAAAGCCAAACTACACGGTGCTATAAGTAAATGCCAATAGTGCTAATAAAGCGCTAACTAGGCGGTAGAGGTGTGTTCTCAGCGCTTTGGATATCTCTATTTCACACTCTTTTGTGATCATTTTTCGAGAGCTTTGCCTTCCAAAGCTGTCTTTTGTCCACAGACAGTCCCCAAACCATCTCGTAGCCTCAGCAGAACTCCTCCTGAGACATCGTGCCAGAAGCTTCCTCTGCTCCACTTTCTCAATCTGTTCCTCACCGTCCTTCATTTTCTCATCATCTCCTCGTAGTCTTCCTCACTGCTGGCGTCGTGTCTGATGAGTTCTGACCCCAGAACCATCCTGTGCTCTTGTATGTTTTACACAGGTTTAATCTTCTCAGGTTTGGGCTTTTAGTTTGAAGTTTTTTGTACACTGTGTCTTCTTGTATTTACACAAAGGGGTTTCAGACATGTGTTTTATTTAAATGAGACCATTTGCTGCTCAATTTTAAGCTCTAACGTTATAAGTGTTCTAAATTCATCAACAGCCGTGATTTTATTCGTTTTCAGGGATTCAATTTTTATGATTAAACATTTGGTGCAGCAAAAGCACATTTAATCCGTCCACGTGTTTATTCTGAAGATTCATGAGCCTGGGTTTTATTTATAAAAATGTATCAGCTATCGTGTATCATCACTTTTCCCATCCAGGGCCAAACAGCGACAGCAGCAGAGCCTGTTGTTTTTAAAACCTTGACATCTCATTTGGTGACAGCGGTGTCCGTCACTGAACAAAGCTACAGAGCGTGCGTGCAGCACATTCAAACATTTAATAAATCCTTAACCCCCAAGAGAAACACAGTCTGCTGTCTGTTCACTTCTGGTATCAGCTCTTCCCTTCATGAATAATGGAGGAGACCCACGTGGGGGCCCAAAATGTCACGGCATTTGGGCCACATTCTTTTGCCCCTGTTTGTCTGTGTGTTTGATTCCTCATATGTAATCGTGCTCGAGCCGATGAAAACCAGCTGAACAAATAGCAGAGATGCCGTATTGATCTACATACGTGCATATATGTGAACATATGAGCTTTACACACACACACTGTTCTTGCTCAAACAACAGATTGCCAGCAGATAAAAGCAAACATGTTTTATATTTCATGTTCTGAGCCAGATCAGCTGAAAACAGAGCCGAGGCTCAACCACTTGAATTCCAAATGGCCTCTGCAGCCCCAAATACCACAGATAACCCACTTAGGGGTCAGAGATATGCAGGGATGATGAAAGTATGAAGAAAGTGATGTGGCCTTTTTACGTCAGTGGCTCTCAAACATTTTCCCACAATACGCCTATTTCTCCTCCGTTTGGATTGTTTTAATATTTCATATTACGATAGTTTCCCTAAAGACTGCGTGACAGTATTATTATAAAGTGCACCCATAAATGGCAGGCAAGACAAAAGCAGGTGGCATTCGAATGGGTGCTGAAAAGAATAAACTAGTGCCTAATGTTTGTATTCAATGCTTTTATATTTGAATGATAAAACCTCAGAACGCGGCTGAGTGCTCTCGTAAGCGCCACCAGAGGTTGATCACCGCTGTTCAACTGTCCCCCGATCCGCTCAGATCTCAGTGAATGAGAGTGAGGCTTTGCAACAAGATCTTAATAAAGCTGCTGCGGACGGCTCGTTGTGATGCACAGGAAGATAACTCGAGTTTAAGCCGGAGAAACTGAGGTCATTCCGAGCGGAAGGTATTTTTGCTCAGTGGCCGGTGTGGATAATGAGCTCTTTGATGTTTGTGTGTGTGTGTGTGTGCGTATTAATTCCTATGTGGTGAAGTGTGTTTTTGCAGCTGGTTGTTATTTTATATGTTAATTTATCCTGATGATTCTTAGTGCAGCTGCCAATACTTCACATATGATATTGATATTGTACTATGAGAGCAAATCATACGTCATTTAATACACCAACAAACTCTGCTCTAGTTCTCATAGCGTAGTACACTTATTTTTTACCAAATCCTCCTCTTTTTCTCAACTGTGACATAAAAAACCCTTCTTATTTACCAAGAAGGTGTATGAATGAACACATGAATGATCCTTTTCCTACAAGTCACATGCAGCATTCCTTCATTGTTCTGCCTTCATTTTACCCTTTTTTTATTTCCTCTTCTTTTTGCATCTCTTCCCCTTCGTGTGCGTGTGTGTGTGTGTGTGCGCGTGTGTGTGTGTGAAACAGCTCGGCTGAGGCAACGCGCTGAACAAAGTTGCTGGCACCTGCAGAGCGGCCGACGCGTCTGAGGGGAATAACGGCGCTTTGTATTCTGCAGGAATCCCCTCTCACAGAACAGATTAACTCTCCCTCCCGATTGGAAACGTTTCACACAAAGCAGCCAAAAGCATCAGCCGCGTTAATGGAATTTTTGAGAAAAGCAAAAGTTACAGACCTTTTTTGAAAAGAAGAAAAGAGGAAAAAAAAAAAGCCTGGTGTTTCTCGTAGGCGGTCACGTCGCGCAGAAATCCATCCCGTAGTGTTTGCCGTTTCCAGCCGAGCAAACCGGATCTGTTGCCCCTGGGATCTTCCCTACAAGTCTGTCCGCTCTCCTCCCTCTCTCTCTCTCTCTCTCTCTCTCTCTCTCTCTCTCTCTCTCTCTGTCTGTCTCTCGGTCACTGAGTGTTACACACAGACACCATCAGGCTCTTCTCTATGAATGGCTTTGCATTGAAAGGGGAACACACACACACACACACACACACGGTCTGTAAATGAGAGGCTGTAACTAATGAATAATGTTTTTTATACTTGGCAATTAGCACAGAGGGAAGGGAAGAGAGGGAGTGTCGCTCGCTCTAATCACATCTTCTCTCTCTCACTCTGCACTCCCACGTCACTCCCTGCTGCTCGTCACCTTTTCAATAACCAACACGTAATCAGTCAAATCTAATGAATGGACGCGTGTCATTGGGCTCCCACCCACCCGATCAACCCCTCAGGTTTGTGTGAAGGACGCAGGCTTCCTCTCTGCTGTGAGCAAACTGCGTCAGTGGACGGAGCAGCGACTGGCTCACAGAACGAGGAGCTCAGTCAGACGAGACTCCAAATCTCCAGCTGGAGGAGAAAGTGGAAATCTCTATTTCCCTTGGCAGCTTTTCTTGCCTTCCTTCATCTTAAAAGTTGTTTTTTTCCACTTCCCCTCTCCTCTTTTTCTCCTTCTGACCCCACCACCCAAAAACAATATGGAGGGTGGAGTGTGTTTGTTGTGCTGATAGCATTGTGCCATGAGCAGGAAACAGCACTCAGTTGATCGTGATGTGATTCATCTCGCAGGTGTTTGCTCAGAGGTTCCACGAAATGAGTGACCCGTCCGTAACCTTGGAGACGTTTCATTGTAAAAGACAAACGGCCGAGTGCTGATTGTGCCAGACGAGCGTGCGACGTCATCGAATTCGTCCCCTGAGGATCTTTAATGTCCGCACATCCCGTAATCCACGGCGCAAGCTGCCAACAGAACGGAGTCCTTCTTTGATCGAAATGAGTTCAAGTGGAGAAAAAAAACTCCATCTTTTTGTGATTTGTGCGAAGCAACCCTCTAAAGTGCTTTGCTCTGACTGCAAAACTAAAGCACTTTAAATGAGTCTCAGCGTCCTCTTTTCTAAAAATAGATTTTGTACGTGACCCTGAATCTCACACTTTGGCACTTTGATGGTGTTCGTGGGGGTGTTGATTGTGTGGCAGAGGACACCTGTACCTTCTCTTTGAAGGGGAAAAGGTGCCTCCTCCTCCTCCACAGATGCCTCCGTCCTCCTCCACCATCTGCCCGCCGACACCAGACGCCAGAGGGGAGCGGCAGCGAGCAGAGATGAGAGGACGATGACTTCATTTCACGCCAGAATCCAGCTTTCACTGACATCACACGGCTGACATTGATGTGTACTTCAGACAACATTTGACAGGTCAGGGATTCATCTGATGAGCGTGTATCCATATGTGAATATTTCCTTAATCCGAACCCGCCAAATCAACAAACAAAAAAAGATTTTGATGAATGTTTTTAATGACACGCTTGTGGCGGTTTTGCTGGTGTTGACACTGTTGAGGGAGAAACCAAGGACAGAGGCAAGGAACACCATTTCATTATTCAAATAATTATTCCCCCTGACCCTCACTCTACTATCCACACCCTGCAAGGCCATTTATTCATCTATCACAGGGAATTGTTACACACACAGACACACGCGGACACTATTCTCTTTTCCTAAAGCAGGAATCTGTTTGGTGTAGCTACTAAAGTCTCTGCGCAATCTCATGTGTGTGTGTGTGTGTGTGTGTGTGCGTGTGTGTGTGTGTGTGTGTGTGTGTGTGTGTGTGTGTGTGTGCGTGTGTGTGTGTGTGTGTGCCAGACAAAGAGAGCGAGGACTGAAGGATGGAGATAAGGGCTTTGGCCTCAGATAGTTTTGTAACTAATCCCAGAAGGCGTGGCCGCCAATTCCGTGTCATTCCCTGATATCCCAGCCTGCTGTGACTCGGTGCCATCCTAACACTGCCCTTGTGAGGACACCCGTCTCTGCACGCGTGTTAATGGGGGTGAGGGGGAGGGTGCAATTGCCTTTGGGGACTATTTGTGTGCTAAACTGTGTTTGAGTATGTGGGTGCAGCCCATCTCGCTGAACTCAGGGGAACAACTCTAGACCCCCGAGATAACCGACAGGAAGGTGTCAACATAATAGTTGGTAACATGTTAGAGGTCCTGGTGATGGCAGAAGCACGGCCACATGGACTTCACATCCCTCTGGTAGCCTGGGGCAATTTGCACAGCTACCAACTGAGGCAGAAGCTCCCGAAAGCAAAATCCAAGACTTTGATGAGGTCAGGATGAGCTGACTGTTTCACTCTCCGCCTCCTTTATTGCAAGAGAAAGTATCAATTCTATCTGTAATCGGTCAGAATCCCCCAGAACGCCACCTCATTTTCACTTGTTCCTAGTTTTTCAAAGATTTTGCAGATCAATAAGTATGCACAGACTACTCTCTAGCTTTTTAGGTCTCATTGCAGTGTGCCGCCAATCAAAATGATTCCCGCGGATCTGACGGCACGGCGCAGAGAAAAACACACTGAGGCATAACAGCGACACACTCGCACAAAGACACACAGGACAGTAGCCTGACAGGCGAGTACTAGCCCGGAATAACAATGAGACAAATAGAAATAGGATATTGGCACTGCGGGGTGGGTGGGGGGGGGGGGGGGGGACAACACACATGTACCAAAAGGCATGTCTGAGCGAGACGCCTAAAAACTGAGCAAAATCAGTGCTCTACTGAAACCTGTACGACTAATAGTCTTGGAATTTTTGCACTGATCCCTCTGAAGGGTGTACGCTCTAAACGTATCGAAAGGAGAGAAGAAAGGGGAGAGAAAAAATGTCCTCAAAGTCAGATTCATTTGAATACATGAATAATTTAGGGCACTGAAAGATTTGCGGCCCTTAAATTTGCCAAAAAGTACTCTTCGACATTCATGGTTCATACGCACCACGGCGTGGAGGGAAGGGGAGACATTTGATGCACAAGGTAAAGAGGACACAAGGACAAAAGCTACATCACCTTGTCCTTGTGCATAATTAATGACTGGTTTGACTTTTACATTCAATCGGTCTGGGAATATTTATTTCTCTCCCCCCTCTCGCTGTTTTACCACGATTCACTCTGAATAATTAATGAATCCAAAGCAGACCCTGAAACTAAACAATTAAAACTTTCATTTCGTCGACGTCTTGCGGATATTTAAACAATGATATGGTCAAAAATAGTTTGGAGGCGGGGAAAGCCGATGGCCGACTAATCAATCAATAGCTTCAAGTGCTGATGTCTTGCAAAGTGTAAGAGGGAACTTATGTCGAGAGAAACAAACTGGCAACATGTCAGATATAACATGAATATTACTTGTCAGCTTGCTGTTTTAGCCCACATTTTCTCCCAGCCTCTCTTCCCGTATCTTGGCATCCTGTCGTTACAACAATGTACTGAAGAATTTCAATGGAAGCAAAAAGTGTGTCTTGCCTTTCTTTTACCGGTGACTGCAAAGATCTAACGTCCTTTCAGCGGGTCATCCTCTAATTATTATAGTTGTTACCGTCTGCTGGGATGTGCTATAATGTGTTACGTCCTGGCTCGTGTGTGTGTGTGTGTTGTGTGTTGTGGTGTCTGAGTTTGAGCAGCGTAATTATTCCATAAGACAATGACAGCTCCCGTCTCTCCATGACACCCACCGCGGCCCCTCCACAGCTCTCCTCCCCGTGGCTCATCGACGGGCCTTTTATTGAAGGGGATTGGCACCAAATTTCCACGTCGTATCCCGCAAGAAAAGGACCTTTTTGATTTGTATGAGGATGATTGAGTACGGCATTATGAAAAGCACAAAGACCTCCAGACAGCAGGCAAAGAGGATCGATTGGCTGACGGGTGAACGCTAGATTGTTGTGAACTAGTCATGCTCATCATATTTGATGTAGGGTTTTGGTGTTTGAGTGAGTTTTCAAACTCTGCATATTCAGTTATTTTTGCTGTATTTTAACTTCCCTGATGCCCTGCAGCTCAGCACGGGTGATGTAACATCTTCAGACTTCTTTTCGTTGCCTCCTGTTACCTTGAAAATGTGGAAATCAAAGTTCTTTATGCTTTAAGAGCCAATGAATGCTGCTAATTGGCCTCAACCCAACACAACCCTTCTTTGTAGCAGGGTGCACTTTGAGACTTTCGCCACGGTGCATTTGCATATTTTTGTCCACAAACACAGACACAAATATACGGTTTGCTACAGATTGAGGAGAGCATAAAAATGAAAAAGTTGCAATCAGCCAATGTCCTGGATGTATTCAGATTAACTCTCTTTGAAGAGTCATGTCCGTTCTTCACTAAGAAGAAAAATAAATCACTAATGGACATTAACTGTGACTCATAAATCGGCTGATCAACTTCTATTCCCACAAAAGAAAATGTCTGTTAAACATGCATGAACCTCTGCGTATTGGGTTCTGCAGGTAAGAAAGCCAGTTTTCACGTCTTTGGAAAGTTATTCTTCTGTCCTCAGGGCGAGAGACGATCTCCTCAGTTCTAACACCGCTGGATGAGAGATGAGCCGCGATCGTCCCCGGCTGGGACGATCTTCCTGGACGGCGCGACGTTTTGGACCCATCTGGCCCCGAGCCCGTCCCCTGCCAGACGTCCCGTTAATGAAATGGCAGCAGCCCAATGCTCCGTATCTGTCATCAGCAATCTGCATCTGCTCAGGGACTCAACGGAAATGAGGAAGAGGGATGAACACGGAGGAAGGCAGAGAGACTCTGTGTCCCCCGAGCAGGTGCCATGTTTGTGTGCGTGTGCGTGTCAGGGTGAATGCGTGTGTGTGTGTGTGTGTGTGTGTGCGTGTGTGGTGGCTCCGTCCCTGTTTTTAGCACAGCGTGAAATCTAAGTTATAGATTTCTTTTTTTGAGAGGAGAAAGTAGCCACAGCGGGCCGCCTCATCTTTCATCTCCACTGGATCAAATAGGTGAGGATATTTCATCGGTTCTGCGTTACAACAAGGCTCCAATGCATCTTATCTGTCAGGGGGAAAATGGCTCGCTGTACCTCGTCTGGGCCCCCGGGGGCCACATGGGGTCGACACATTTTTCAACTTCAACAAATTTAGACTCCACCCGAACAACCCTAACAAATATGTGCTGGAAACACCATCATTCAACAACAGCTTCATTGTCCTAAACTTTGAGATTTTATTGTGCCGATGGCATCTTATAATCCTGTTAAAAATAAATATGTCGTTTATGATTATTCCCTAAAATTATCTAGCTGTTATTGATTGAAAGATCTAGTTTGGATGATTTTTGAGATTTTTCTTCTTTAAAATATCAGTCATTGTGGTTTATATAACACTGCGTCTATTTTGACATAAATAGAAAAGAAAGCGTAACACATTCACTTGAGGAATAAAATGCTTGGCCTGTTTTTTCTGAATCAATGAGGGATTGATTTCTTGGAAGCAGTCGCGTCCCACCTGTTTGGTTTATTCCAGCTCTGAGGAGCCTGATTGTCTGATTGTCTCCGGAGTCACATCGTAGCCAGCCGGCATCTCAGGTGCAGCGTGTTTTATCTGAGAAGAAAGCCATATCGGTGCAACAGAGAGAAAACCCTTTCTCAGATTTACTGAGATGATAATCTTTTCAACTTTTAGCATTTTTTCACACGTGAATGCATTATGCTTTTGTTGCTTTTGTTATTACACTGTTGATAGAATTACAATTATCATGAATTATATTTTGTTTAGTTGTAATAAAATCTACCTTTGACGTAATAGCTGAAACATATAAACTGTTTTATTAGCTTTTGTGATGTGGGAGGGTTTTAACTCTTTGGGTGTAATGTGCCTCTGAGATCAGTGTAGTGTTTGACCAGGATGGATCTAATCAGGATAAAGATACAAATTAAATCCCACTGATTTATCAAGCAAGTGAAAAAGATTTTTAAAAAATTCTTACATGTGATTAGAAGTGAAAGACACTTTTATAATCAAATGAGGAGCATAGAAAATTGTGCAATGAAATACACACACTAAAACATAGTGGACAAAAACGTAGGGAGACTTGCATGAAATACAGCCGTAAGGAAAGCGAAGGTTAGCTGAAGATTCAAGGAGCAGCCTTGTGACCAAAAGATTGCAAATTGGAATCCTTAATCCCCCCTTTGCTCCACTGGAGCTGCTCAGCTGCGGCGTGAAAGCCTGGTGGTTAATGCTCCTCGGTCCTTCCCTGCCTCCACACTTGACTATAGTTCAGGCTCCATAGTTCTGGCTGGGACTGAGAACCGGCCCAAGTTTTTAATTTGTCGAACAAGATTTAGAACAGTGTCATATGATCCGAATCCCTGTTGACTTGACTTCTTGGTGGTTTTTGCGTTGTGATTGGACCCTACGTGGCTACATAGCCTCACAAAATCTAAAATTGTTATTTGTTATTTGCTACGTCAAAAAATGTGCTCAGTTCACTGCAAAAGCAAAACAGCAGACCATAATTACAGAAGAGAAAACCTGCCATCCGATGGATGATGTGGAAGTTGCAGGTTACTCTCCACTCAGACACAAAGCTTTCTGTATGGACTTGTTTTCCAAGAAGTACTGTAATTGGCTTCAAATTTAGTTTTTAATTGAACTGGGTGAATTATTTTTCCCCGGTCTGTCATCTATGGAAACACTGGCAGATGTATCATGCTCAAGAGTTTTTAAACATGAACAAATTTCAGTGAAATCTATGATAAATTGCATGAATAATGGCAAATTAACAATAGTCCTCGAGATGTGAGATGTTTTGAAACATTTTGTTGCGAACCCGAAGAAATGTCAGGTGTTGATATCACTTTCACTGGCCACTTTTTCCAAATCATTTGGGGAGAAGTGGACAAATCCGCTCAATTCAACCCGTAGATTCTACTGTGACTTTCCTCTACCTCCGGGACTGACAGGAACTATTGAGACGTTATTGACCTACCACCCGTCTCCACGTGTTCATAAGCAGCAGGCCACAGGGAGCTGTCGGTGGCTTTATACCCATTCAGGTACGTGTGACTCTGGCATTCTTGTCCAGGGATTATCACGAGTCAATAACATGTTGTCTCTAGAGCTGTTCATAATACAACCAGGTCAGATCGGAAGTAAAAAGAAAACAAATAACTGATTTATTCTTCAAAACAAAAGTTATTCAGTTAAAATATTATTTCCATACAAATATACCACGTATTTCATTGCTGCACGTTGGAATGTTTTATTTACATTTTTCATTCACACTATTGGCCTTTTGTTGAATCATTCAGAGAACAATGAATTATGTATATTGAGCTTCCTCACTGTTGAGGTCCATATTTTCTCCATCAAAATACGTCCCTGTAACTTTACTTAAAGACTTAAACGAACACTCAAACATGATGAATGAATCCTGTGAGCGATTTGTGACGCACGACGCCGACGGTCAGCTGCTCGGTCACGTGACCGGACCGATAACCGTTCAGAGGAAAAACAGCTGATCCGTTCACAAAGACACCCAAAGGACACCCAAAGGGACACCCAAAGGGACACCCCTGCTGGACTAACAATAACCGACATTCAGGGAACCTGCTTTTGACTCTTGAATACCGCGAGAGGTCGCTGTTTTCCTTCAGAGAAGCGACCAAAAGATAAGTCACCGTCAGCGCATCGACCCAACGTTAAACTGTTGATCTACGTTGGTCGCGATCATGGTGAGATTCGCAGGCGAGAACAAGACGGTCGACTTTGATCGATTCCTGCCAACCGAGCGGAAGTCCTCAGTGAGGGAGACTCCCACGCGGGGGGTCGGATTGGCAAACCGCGTTTTATTCTGTTTGTAAAGCGGGAAGTTTGTGTGGTTGCGGTTGATGGTTTGCGTGCTCGCTGGTTCTCCCCGTCCTGAGTGACAGGAGCAACTTGGGGGGCGCGGTGTGTGTGTGTGTGTGGGGGGGGCAGAAAGCCCCGCCCTCCACATGAGTGCAATGCCATAGAATCACTTAGATGTTGCGATGGGTTCCTCGTTATTATTCTGCAACGTTTATTTAAATGCGCACAGCCGTTTTGATCAGTTTCTTCTATCTTGCATATATTACATCTGAGAAATGTGTAAGGAATATTGTTCACCAATTTCTCACTTTTAATGGTAAAATATATAAAAAATCTGTCCATTTTTCAGCTAAATTAAATCATTGGACTTCTGTCTGTACTTACGGCTTGTGTTTGGAGAATTCTGTATTCTTTGGGATTTTTCTATATTTTAGTTAGTAATAAATGCTTACGAAATAGGTTTAGATTTCTCACACGGGACATTATCCACTAATTGCAACCACAAAATAATTGTTAATTCGTATATAATCAAATGCCGTATACGAACAATATTACATTACATTACATTACATGTCATTTAGCGGACGCTTTTATCCAAAGCGACGTACAATAAGTGCATTCAACCATAGGGTACAAACTCAGGAGAACAAGAAACAAGAAAGTGCAATTTCCTCAAATAAGCCAATTTACAATTTGCTATAGATGAGTGACGTTACAAGTACAATTTAAGTGCTACAATTTGTTAGTCTTTAGTCGAGGTAGAGTCTGATTAGTCGAGGTAGAGTCTGTCAAGTATGATCAATTGACATCAAAAAGCAACATCTTGCTCACTACAATACTCGTATTGGTAATATTTTCTCTACAGATTGTTTCATGAGCAGTTGTTAGAGGATAGAAGAGTAGTCAATCCACTATTGTCACTTAAACTCATATTTTACTGTGCGGTTAATTTATTGTGTTTACTCTCATTTTAATTATCTAGCAACCCCTTACAGTCCCTCAATGCCATGTTGGGAACCACACTAGTACAACTGTACATGAAATAGCTCACTTCTCAGTTTTGGTTCATGTTTCTGTTTTGTCCTTTGCCGTTGTGACCTACCCAACCGTTCCTCTACTCCTTGTTTAAAGATGAACTTCGGCACAAATACTCATTGCAGCAGTTACACTAGCAAAGAAAACATTCCAGCTTCAGGCAAAGTAGATGCACCGCACGCGCAGCGACCCAAACAGCGGAGGGTCCTCGGTGTGTTGTCAGAAAATGAGCAGCGTGGTCGATCGCTCAGCCAGGTGAGAGAAAAAGCCCCAACGGAGAACATTGTATTTTGTTAATTCAATTTCCCCTTAAAGAAATGGCATATTTCAACTTAAAGGTCTTTCTCCACAGGGGAGCCACTTTTCCAAACACAGCTCAATCTCAGACAGCTCCCAGCTCGTCTCCCTCGGCAGCCCGCCCACTTCCAACTTTGACGTGTACGTTGAGGAGGCTTGTGAGGTTGTCCTCGCGGCCTCTGGTCAAGAAGTGGTCTCGGACAGCTTTTACCTAGACAGCAAATCTGCTGGATTGCAACATGAACATTCGAGACTTCTGCTGGAACTGAGTTCAAGTGAGTTTGGCAAATACAAAGACACCTGCCGAGAATTTATTATTTCTTACCAATGCTGTTCATTCTTGTAGGTTCATGCCAGGATGCTTCTATGCAGTCGGAACCAAATAAATCTCTGATGTCAGAGGAGGTGTTTTGCGTTTCAGAGTATGCAGAGGACATTCACCTGCACTTGAGGGAGAGTGAAGTGCGGATTCATCTGTACTATAAGGGCTGAATCGCGGGCAGGATTTAAACGCATCATAGTCATGTTGTTTTGCTCCTTAATTTGTTACAAATTCCCAATGATAACAGCTTGTTTTGTCCCTGGTGCCAGATGAGGACTAGGCCGTGGGCAGGCTACTTACTAAAACACCCAGAGATCACCAACGGCATGCGCGCCGTCCTGGTGGACTGGCTGGTGGAAGTCGTCCAGGAATACAGGCTTCGTTCTGAAACCCTGCACCTGGCTGTCAACTACTTGGACCGCTTCCTCTCCTCCACGGCATACGTCAAACGGAGCAAGCTGCAGCTCATTGGCATAGCTGCGTTGCTGATTGCCGCGTAAGCACGTGTTTGTCTTTTCCCAAAAGCTTTCACAGGTGTCCGGTACAATCCAGCAGGCACTGGATTGTTCAAACCAATTTGTGAGTCGTGACAAAAATCCCCCTAGTTGGAGTTGGAGTGACAAATTTGCAAGCTGATGCCGCCTGATCTGTCACCTCGTAGAAAATATGAGGAGATCTCCCCTCCAGAGTTGAACGAGTTTGTGTACACCACAGACAACACCTACACTAAGAATCAACTGGTCCAGATGGAGCACGTTTTCCTGAATGTGCTGGCTTTCAAGATGACAGCGGCCACCACAAACCAGTTCCTACGCCTCTTCATGTCCATCCGCTCCGTCTGTGCCAACACGGAGAACCTTGCCCTCGTGAGCAGAGTCAATAACTCAAATGCCAGTTAGATCAGAGTGTTGTGCCCACTGCCTTTTTGAATTTCCCCATGTCCCTAGATCATATTTTGAATCGGTGATGTGTGTTTTTTACCGCTTCTAGTATTTGGCGGAGTTAAGCCTGCTGGAAATCAATCCATTCATACAGTACACCCCATCTCTGGTGGCAGCTGCCGCGTACTACTTAGCCACTTACACTCTAAACAAATCTCTCTGGGTGAGTCTGTCCAGAACAATGGCTTGAGGTGAGGATTGTTTAGGCAATTGGCCAAAACTTGACTTTTTACATTATTTCTTATATATTCTAGCCTGATTCCTTAATTGCCTTTACCGGCTATACCACGACTGAAATTGTTCCTTGCATGACGGACCTTCACAAGCTTTACATCAGTGCAGCGAGTCGCCCACAACAGGCCATCCGGGAAAAATATAAAAGTTCCAAGTAAGGCATAGTTTAACCTATCTTTCATGTGTATTTTCTATATCTGAACACATGTATTTTATCTCTCTATTGACAGGTATTGTTGTGTTTCATTGATCACTGCACCTGCTGTTCTGGACTTACTATGAAAAGATACCCCAGGCTCCTTTGATGCTTCTGACCCAACAATATTGGAATATGAACAAAACGTACACAGATATTTTTGCAGCCAATCCCATATAAACCACTGTACAGTGGACACTTAATTACCTTGTTTTTCATCATTCATTCCTTGTTTGTACACATACAATAAATCTGTTGTAATAAAACCTACTTTGTGGCTAAATCATTTCACTACTTGCAGTTGTTCATGCAAAAGGTTTTTAAAGCTGGTAAGTCAGCAGTAATATATATATTCTGTTAAGAATGTCCTTAAACTGCAGCATCCTCCTAATCTTTTAGTGATTTAAAATATATTGTCATGGAATTTATAGCAATTATTATTTTTTTGTATATCTTGTCTTCCTAAAATGCAAAGTTAGTTTAACAAATAACCATATGTTATTTTATTATGTTTTATTAATCATCCAGCTACGTTATTATTGTTGTGTCAAGCGTTATAATTCAACTCGCCGCCCATGGCTTTTATTCTGAAAAGGTTCGCCGGAAGCCATTTTTGTCGCTCTGGCTGGTTTTGACGCTTGTATAAAACAGCTGGGAGGTGCGCTGAATGAACTCAGACCGTGAAGTGCACACTCATTGATACATGCCAGCCTTCTCCTGCCTATTATAGTACCGACGACCTTCGGTGAAGTAACAACGAGACACTTTGAAACCACTTTTTTTTGTTCTTTTGTGATTTTATTTCCCAAAACTGAACTTCAAATTAAGGTAAACCCGATTTAAGATTATTATTTATTGTCTATCAGGCATGCCGCCTGAAAAGGTAGCACGCGATTATGCATTTGATAATGAGATGAAGGGTTCATGTGTACACTCTTAAATGTGAATCTACTATGAGGACTTTTTAAGAATGCCTGTTGTTCAGGTTAAACCTGATGTGTTTGTTCGGGCTAATTCACAACGCGTCATCTCCACATTTCTTTCTCACATTCCACGTTCCGCTTAAGTGTTGGCCATATATTCAAGTTGAGCCGCTGTCTCGTTGCTGCTTCGATTCTTTGCTTAGGCTGTTTTTTAATTCCAACTGTCTCCAATCCACTTAACTGAAATCTCAATCTTCCGAATCGTTAAGCCTAAAGAACAAACTATAGTGAAAAGGGTATATCTAATTATATAGCATCACTATAACAATCTTGATATTGCAGTTCCAACTTGTGTGTCTCTTTGCCTCCGTTGTAGCTTCTGTATCCCGTCTCCTTGTCAGCATGACTGAGCCTGCTGAGCTGCTGCTCATCAAGGACCAGTACGAGTTGGCGTTTCATTCTCTGAGCCGAGGCCTGGCGGCCGAGGAGGCCGGCAAAAGAGAAGAGGCCCTGATGTTTTACAGGAAAGGTCAACAGCACCTTACCCAAGGAATGGAAGTCCCCACCGGGGGAGAGAGGCACCTGGGAGCGGTCTGGGACACAGCCAGGGGTCTTCAGCAGAGGATGAGGGACACTCTGAGGACTGTCAACACCCACCTCTCTGACCCAGAGGCCTCTCAGCTGACAAAAGGATGCCAGCGGGGGCGCCTGCTGATGAATCTACCTCCCAACCTGTACCCGGACCTGACGCCATGCCGCCAGCCTCCACAGAGCTCCCTCAATCACCTGTACCCGACGGTGGCTGCCGCCACCCAGGACGCAGCCCTAACGCTCCAGCCCAGTCTTCCTTCCTGTGCCCGGCTGCAAACCCTCCCCGCCGCGACCCACCCGGGGGATCAGCCTCCGGCGTACACGCCACAGCCAACTGTCGGCCACCGCAGTCTGTCTTACGCTCCTGCTGAAGGTGGGCTCAGGCCAGGGAAGCAGGCAGCTGCAGCAGGAGGTGGAGGAGATGGAAACGAGCTGCTGCACGTCCCCTCTGGGGTGCAGATGTTTTTCGTGGCGCCGAGCGGGCAGGTCAGCTCCCTGTCTCATCCAGGTTACCTTCGCATCGTTCAACTTGACAGTGAGCACAAGGGTTCCACCGCTGGGAAAGCCTCAACATTTCTACAGGTGAGTTTTCTGTATGATGTGATAAATACGTCTAAAGTATCTGCGCGCATGTGGGGGTAAGCATGTCAGCATAGCATTTGACTTATGATTGCTTTCTTCATTTGTCATTTAGTTGTTGGGTCAGTCTGAAACTCATCACTGCACTGTAATAAAATCTTAACAGTCCAAAACAAAAAGTGTTAAAAAAAGTAAGTCCAAAATTCACTTTACTATGATGTGAAAAAAAGAAAATATTATAGTCAAAATAATTCTGACTCATTAGAGTAATAGATCAAATTTTTCAGCTCTAGTAGCAATGTTGTCGTTGCCTTAAACCCCCCCCGCCCCGCCTGCCCCCCTTATGTTTACCTCCAGAGCGGCCTGGTCGGCTGCTCTCCTGTATTCTGGCCATGCTTTGTCTCCCAGGAAGACAATGGTGCCACTAACAGATGACTCTGCGCTCCTGTTGTGCTGCTGGCCAGTGTCATGAGCCCTCACAGGGGTCATCGTGTCAGGCGGCGTGCCAGCGGCACAACGCTGTATCTGTAGTACGTCTGTGCGGACGACTGGCATAAGACCTAATGGGCTAACGTAGTGTTTCTTATCCGTTGACGGATGGTCTACTTGCTGTGACAATAGTTGTTTATGCCCTTTTGCAAAAAAAAAAACCTTTTATTTATTAAGTGAATTTAGAAAGCATAGCATTGAACATGTGCTTTTCATTTGACAGTTTATGAACTAAGGAAACAAATAAGAACAGACGCCACCATGTCCTCATTTTCTGTCTAGTTCTATCTGAGGTTGTTGTTCAAAATAATGAATGTGAAGTGAAGCAATGGGAGATTATAATGATGAGGATAAATCCCATTCACACACATTCATCACTATTCCGCAGACGTTCTGGTCCCAGGGGTCTTGGGGCTTTCCTCTTATTTTTGTGTCTTTTCTGTTTTCAAGGTGTGTGACTGTCTCTTCCTGCTGGAAGCAGGCACTCCAGTGCTGTTGGCTAACTCCGGCATCTTCATGTTCCGGGACACCTTGTCAGAGACGCCAGGGTCCTACGTGGGCATAGTGCTGTCCTCAGAGCTGCCTCCTGTACATGGGGAGACGTTTCAGGCTCTTCTCTCGCAGCTGGCTAACCTCAGGGTTCAGGTCAGGCTTTACTCAGTATTGAGCGTGTGCGTGCGTGCGTGCGTGCGTGTGTGTGTGGAGTCAACGATGTGGAGCGATGCGTCATGGTGTTGGAACGGAACGGGGACGGTGTTGACATTGTTCACGACGAGTCATTTCATTCTTAAAACGACAGCACCGCCTTGTAGAATCCATAGTGTCACTGTCCTCTGCTGAGACGTCAAGGGGAACCGAACCGGTGAAAAAATTGTCAGCCAGCTGAGTCACGGCTCACAGGAATGAACGCCACCCGTTTGGGTGTATGCACATTTAAAAATGATCTCACTGTACGTCCTTTCATTATAAAATTGCATAAATTGGACTTAATGGATTCCCTGGCAGGGTCCAGAGGGAGAAGGGTCAGATGTCATGAACCTGAGTGACAAAATCCCCCTCGGTCCAATGAAAGAGCATGAAGGACTCACAGTGCCGACAGGGAAGAAGGAGAAACCGCCACTTCCTGGGTGGAGTGAGAAGATGGCGCAAGGAATCTTGACAGGTGTGTTTGTGTGACCCCGATCAAAGGAAAAAAAAAATACACAGAAAAATCAGTGTGCGCACATTGTAGGTGAAGCTGGAAACCGTGTGTGAAACAACCGCTAGATGGCAGAGTTTACCTTTGCACCAATCTCTCTTGAACCAGATTGAGTGCTTCAGTTAACTTTGTGTCCAACCACCTCATCGTCACCATCCAGTAGATATTTAACAACACAATCACTGGTATTGCTAATTTACATATAACTCTGTAAATAACTACCACCCTAAGAACATATTCATGTCTGTAGGAGCTACGCGGTTGAGTGTCGGGTTCGCTAAAGGAGCAGAGGCCACTGGTAGGGCCATTAATAAAGGAGCAGCCAAGTTGCGGGAGCACATCACGCCTGAGGAAACTCCTTCAGAGGTCAGCCCCCATGTCACCAAAAGTCTGGAAGCGGCTAGACAGGCCACGGGGGGGGCCGTCCGAGTCAGCCAGTTCATAGGTAAGAGCGCGAACCGATTCAAGAGGGACTGTTTGCCACGCTGACAGTGAAAATACAAATGTATTTTTAACATTCCACGCTCCTAGAGAAAAGCTTTCTTAATTGTTATTTTTTTTAAACTTTCCCCGCTTGCCACTCTATGTTTGTACACATTTACAGTTAATGGAGTGAGTACTGTGGCAGGACTCGTGGCTGAAAAGATGGCTCCTCATGTGAAGAAACAGGGCTCGAAGCTGGTCCCAGAGTCTATGAAGACGAGTAAAGATGGCGGGCCTTCCAGCTGGGATGGAGCCAAGTTTGTGGCCATCAGCAGTGTACATGGTGTGTAACGACGTGAAGGAGATTTCAGGCTCAAACATGAAGTTCAACTATCATATATATTTGTGTATTGAAAATGTTTTCTTAGATATGAGTGATCCAAATCTTTCTAGCGTTCTCAAGCATTTTTTATTTTTCCACCTAAACCAGGTCTTTCTACTGTTTGGTCCAGTCTGGAGACGGGTGCAAAGCTTGTTGGCAAAAGTGTCACAGCAGAGACTGTCACGACGGTGACGCACAAGTAAGTTCTGATATTTGCAGTCACGTTCCTTGAAATGTTCTAATCAATGAGCTATTGCAGATTGCTTTCCGCTGTGTTCTGAATCTATTTGGTGTCTTTAAACAGTGGAACACTGGCTCAGAAACCAGATACCTGTTGTGCTTTCTACTTGGTACGTTGGGAAACTGATCTGCTTTCACACCTATTTCTTTTCAGATTTAAGGGCTTAGAAAATGTATTAAAAATGTCCAGCAACATATGACTGCACGGGGAATAAAGTCAAAGACTGATCAACTCTTTCACGAACTGTACACTTTCATTAACTCACAAACTAACCCTGAGAGACATATTCCCAATCCAACGCAAGAGCTAACACAGAATGGAAACGTCATTTTACTCATTCATGTCTAGACCAATAAACTGTGTTTTGGGCTCTTTTCTGACTTGATGTAGTTTAAAGTTCTTGTTCTGTTTGTGTCTTTCTGGGTTTGCTAACTGCAGCTAAATGTCAGCTTGTGTTTGGTGGTGCCGCCCTTGCTGTACTTTCTCTGGCCCCTCTTTCTGGTTTGTTACTAATAAAACTACTACAAACTAAAATGTGACTCTTTTTCTCGGCTACCGTGTTGACGCTAATGAAAGCCGCGCCAACCTCCACATTCTCCCAGCGTTTTAATTCTGTGCAGGGCCTCACTTATTTCGATGCACACCAACCCGCTCCTCCCTAACTGCGCCGTGTTGTTTGTGGTGAAGGTACGGTAACGATGCAGGCACAGCTACAGACACTGGTCTGAAGTCAGTGATCAATGTTGCTGTGGCCGCATACAACTTTGACAATCTGGGCATCAAAGCCTTTATGAAGACGACAGGGAAGCAGACGGCCAAGGCCGTGGCCAAGCCGCGGGAACAGCCCGCACAAACACAGGCAAAGGAGCCACTGAAACGAGAACATCAAGAGGAGACGAAGGGAAAAGAAAAGGTGAAAAAGCAGACAGAGAATTAAAAATACATTTAAAAAAAAGATTCACTAAGGAAGGTCATAGCTTTGCTTGACGAGTTCTGTCGGATTGATGGATCAACTCATCATTTGCATAACAAACAGGCCACTCGTTTCTTGATTGGATGTTATTAGTTTTGTAAAAATGTATTTCCCAAGTAATTTTGTTATTTATGCATAGTGAAGTGATATTGAAGGCATTTTTTTTATTGAAATTGTAGTGACGTCATGTGTACATTGTTTTACAGTCTATATGATAAAAAATAATTGATGTGAAGCGGTTAAGAGTGAACTTATATATTAACCATTTTAATGATCCGAATGAACGTGCAATAACGTTAACGCAAAGCACGTGTGTACATTAACATAAACTACACATTTGAACCATTGTAACCATGATGAATCTCTCCTGGATGTTACAGATGAACAAACCGATATTATCTCACAGACATGCAGTTGTTTTTGAAGTTAATAAAAATATAATATGTGTATACCGTTATGTTAACTGTTGAAGAAGAAGTAGAGGAAGTGCATCTGATGCCTAACGAAATAGTCTTAAAACTATTTGCTTGAAGAAAAAAAAGTAAAATAAAAATCTTGTAGCGACGTCCAGTTATTTGTTCCCGTATATATTCGTCTCATCACATTCAACCGAAAAGGTCTTTTCGGTTGAATCTGCGCCATCGTGTCCGACAAACCGGAAACATTGGTTTCCATGGAAACTGCGAGGCGCAAACATTCCGTCGCTATTCCAACATGGCTGAAAACAGCGGCAACGGCCGATTCGATTTGTCACGCCTGCAAGCAGAACTTGAGCAAGAGAGGGACACGAAGTAAGTGCGTTTAAAGTGAATATGTCACTTTTCCAAGTGAAACGTTATTTTCCACTCCAAAAACCACCTTCTTAAATACAGAGATGCGCTCGAGGAGTCCGTGACAGATCTGCGCAGTACGATGGTTGAACTGCAAGAGAGACTGCACAGTGTCGACGGGGAAGGTTTTTCTTTTTTCCTAAATATCTAAATATCACCTTCACCCACAGTTGCAAGCTGTTTTGAAACAATCCACTCGGTCGAGCCTGGTCTCAAATGGGACAATGATGGGTTTCCTTGCTTATTCTAATGCAGGAAATGAGTGGAAGACAAGGTATGAGACACAGATTGAACTAAACGGACAGTTGGAAAGACAGATGTCAATCATTCGTGAGAGACTGGAGGAACTGCGAGGGAACCCCGTGGGTGAGCTCACACAGGCCTGTGCCGGCATTTGAAGATATTTATGCTGAAAGGTCAGATGGGTTAGATAATTACATGAATGTAGACACATCGAATCAAGTTGTTGAGAACCTCAGAGGACAGTGTCTCAACACCAAAAGCAGCGTCGTTGCAATAATTATTTAAAAAAAACTTTGGGGTGAGCTCAAGATCTTCACACGGCTGATGTTGGCATGAACTGGTGTGTAGTCTGTCTCTAATCTTTCAACTATAGCGTATTAAAACAACAATGTTCACTGTGATATGTTCACCCCTCTTGAGCAAGTGTGAGTTTTAAAGAACGTACAAATAATGCTCACGCACACTTGCTTTTCACAGATCGATTGGCCTCCATCAGAACCTATGATGACATGCCAGTAGTGAGTGCACATTTTCTATTGAGTTTCCTGCACATGTGTTTTGTGGTATTGGAATTATCAAGAGTTATTTTTCCATGTGCAAACCCTCAGAGGTATTCTGGTTTTTGTCATATCTCACAGGTACTTTATTCTATTGTTCTAAATTCCCACGACTTTGGCAATCAATTTGTTCCTAATGTTCTAATTAGGGCTTTTTAAAATGATAGTGTTAAATACGTAAGTAGTAGGACCCCTGGGGTCAAAAGCAGCCCATTACAGCCTTCGCAGTATTTATAAATACATCATAATAGATTATTGAAATGTTGGCCATGCGGGTGCTGATTTAAAGTATCACTATTTAGAGAGTGTTCAGTCATGTTGAACCCAATAACCACGGATCCAGCAGACACAGATACTAATGTACTCTGTCTATTTTTGTTTTACACAACGTGAATATAAAGTGTAATTAAATTAATTCACTTTTTTAATGTCGTTTTGGAGAACAAATGTTAACATTTTTAGTTTGAAGGCTGTTTCTCACAGTATATTCTTGTTGGAATCCCCATCGCTTGTCCTTTTGGGTTCAATATGGTGGTAGGAGGCGGGTTAACAAACAAATGACACACAGGGAGCGGCACAAGTGTTTGAGACGAAGCACGTGCCAGCAGAGAGAGCCAGAGGAGGAGGAGGAGGATGGTCGAGGGTGTAGCGCCAGCTGCTCTCCATCTTCCCGTTGACGCAGCCTGAATAAAGTGCAGTTTGATCACAGCCCGGCAATCATAACATACAAACAGTAATGCACACTAGTAACAATGCTCTACCACAAATAAATGCACAGCACTCACTGGTTACACAACACGATCTAAAAATGGATCTGTGGGCCTTAAGGCAGAACTAACGGCTGCTCACTATTTTATATATATATATATTTATATATCCAAGGCGTGGCTGGTAAACCGTGTACTGAAGATCTGTAGACAAATTTGCGAGCTTCACGGTAAACTAGACTGAGCATGTTGAAAGAAGGTGGATTATTTGTAATCAGTGCAGTTAGTAATTGTGAAGACAGCGGTTGTCTGTTAAGAGCAAGCGTTGTAGGGGCACGTCACGGTGTCTCTGAAGGAAGCTTGAACCTTTCGTCGATTCTCCGGCATCATCCGAGTGTCCTTATGCTAGTTTCCACACCTGAAAGGTTGACAATGGACATTTTATATGCATATGATGGACTGGAGTCTTCTAATCTTGAGCATGCAAGCGAACGGAAACAGACAAGGATTAGGCGATATTTTATATCTTCCACCCCTGGCTGTAACATTTCATTATTATTTCAATACTATATACTCTCTTCTAGCCTTAACATGTCTCAGCTCTCTGTGTTATGAGTTTATTGGCTTATTGAATAATGCCTAATTAATTTGTGCTCATGTCTTATTGTTTAGTAGATGGCACCATTTCATTGGAATGATTTGTAATTAGACAACAGCAGCGAAACACCATTCGTGCTTCTGTGTTATGAATGTTGCTGATTGATGGAAAACTCTTTGCCTCAGGAAACCCTGAGACATCGTCTGAAGCTCCTGACGGAAGAGAAGTCCGACCTCCAGAGTCAGCTGATGGACTGTCGTGGCAGAATTGAACAGGAAGGAAAGGTTTGGATCTCAGCGGGGCCACGGCCCAATCTTTGCTGTCCAGTATTGTTGAGGGTCATAAAGTCCGCTGGTCCGGTTTGATCATTTCTCAGACAAGCAGCTTTATTTATTCCTCAGGTATTGTACATTTCACTAACAAATTAGCATCATTAGCAAAGGGATTGAAAAAGTTTTGGCTGAAATGTTTTGCGTTCGTTAACAACCATTGATGCAAAATTGAACACTAACCTTTGTCCTGCGCTGCTAAGACAAGGCCGGCATGCTCATGGTTTGGGGTCTCTGTTCTTTGTTCATTGTTAGAACGATATTAGTTGAATAAAAGTTTAACACGCAGCCTATGCGGCCAGTAATCCATGCTCTAATCTGTTGCTCATTAGACTGAAGACCTCCTGAAATATTACACACAGGCAGCAGGCGCAGTAAAAGCGCTGCAGTGCGAGCAGACAGATTATAACTGACAGTTGGAACTGGTTTGTCCATGAATGGAGGAATGTGACAATAAGGCCCTCTGTTTCTTTCCAATATCAGGCCTTTCATAAAACCAATGACGAGAGGCGGGCATATCTTTCTGAAATAGCTAAGGTAAGCGTTCTCTTTAGTCTTCTCTAATTAGAGAGGATCGCTGTCGTGGTTAAATTGTATCAGAGGATAATTCGCTGCAGGCTGTTGTGCTCCGTAGCCTTTGTGTTTAGTGCTGCTCTCACCTCTTATATAATAGGTGTGTCTGCTCAACCCCGAAAATTGAATCAAGAACTGTCTTATGCTGCAAAACAAACTGGTGGCTGCAGGGTTGAAACTAACGCAGCTCCAGGGAAACTTCCGCAATATCACAAATTTGCCTCACAGGCCTTTACAATCTGAACAATCCGTGACGTCCTCTGTCCCGGAAACCAAAGGAAGTACCACCCCCCCCCCCAAGAAACCTTAATGGGAAGAACAGTTAGGAAGAAACCAAAGGGGAAACCAAAGGGGGAAGTTTTAAGCCTTCTCTTAACTGGTGGGAGTGTCTACCCGTGACTTTAACTGGAAGCTGGTTCCACAGATTCTTTGCCATAAATCTTGTGAAGGCACTCGAGAGCTCTTGCCTGTCGAAACACAAAAGCATACATGCATCTGCTTATGCTTAAAACAAATATTTCTGTCTGGGGTTTACCTGTTATTATTCATGAATTGTCCTCTGACGCAGCTCTCCTCCGAAGCCCAAAGAAGACAGTACTCCGTCCAGCCACAGGGGACAGTAGAGAGCAAACCGAGGAGGTCAGTGAAACAACACAAGTGATGGATTCAATATTGTGAACTGAGTGTGAATATTTGGTTTGCTAATCTGATAACAACCGTTATTTTATTTTACTTTTTTCCCTGTACAATATAATTTCTGAAACTACCATTTGATGTATTTTTGTCTTACAGTTAAAAGAAAGAAAATATTAAAATGTAGCCCATTTGGTAGATAACAAGAATTAGTCCTAAACAAAATTACACATAATTACATAACTTGTGTAGTATTAATTCAGAACTAAAATAACTAAATTAAAAACAGTAAAGTACTGAAATCCGTTAATTAGGATGCCAATCCTATGAAGAAAAAAGACTAACTTTTATTATTTGATGCAGATTATCAAGTTATAGACATTTATGGCTCTTAAACTGTTCTTAAAAGGTTCACTACATGATTTACTGTAAGTAAATATTATTCTTAAATCAATCCGACTTCATTTTGCAGTTAGTGCACTGTAAAGTATGCTTGACAAATGAGCTTAGATGTAATAAATATTGATTCTGAGATGTAATACTATCTTGTAATACCATTGTTTCCATGTTTGAAGCACATTTATAAAAATGTTGTTTCTAAATGTTCTAATTGCATAGAGGGAGGCGGACCAGCAGGAAGGCAAAGGCTGATTCTAAAAGAGGAAAAGAGAGAGAAGAAGATGGAGGGGGAGTGTTTGCTAAAGGAGGAGGAGGTGGCGGAGCAACAGCAGAACAAAGAGAACAATATAATTCCTACAGAGAAAGCAGACTACCCACACTAAAGTACGACCTGAAGCACAATCCTTAACCCTACCGCTTTGTGTTATAGCCCTCTAAATAAATAAAAAGTTATCTGACTAACACTTCTCAGAAGATCATTGTGAGAAAGGTAATCCAGCCATGTGCCTCAGTCAGTGCTCTTTTATCCAGTGTTCCTTTTCAATTGATGGAAAATGACAGTGGTACAAAATGTTTCGTTTATATTTGGGGCATTATTATTTCTTTGTTTCAGCAAAAAGGGCATGTAGGAGCCGAGCATGACATTTCTTCTGCCACCAACTTTTTCAAAAACACCTCCTACGATTTGTATTACGTAAGCAACAGCACGTCCACCACTCTCTCTGTAGTTCACGCACACAGAGCACCCAGTCACCCCCGTCCCACCCACGGGCCGCCTTTACAAACGCAGGAGTAGGAGCTGCACTAGTTAATCGGAGGAATTGTCAGAAGCTATTTTCATTTGTTTTTATAAAGAAGTGTGAAGTTTCTCGCCTTAAACCTGAACTGAAATAACGTCCTGTACCTCAAACATGGTTTCCAAGGGAAAAACAGCAGTAATCAACGTTATTCCTCATTGATTGGTCTTTCAGTGTAACGACTTTGTATTAATTGGCTCATGGATTGGGATGTAACATTTGGGGTTTTAGAATAAGAAGTTCCAGGCTGCGCGTTATGAATGACCTGCTCTACGACTGCAGTGTGTGATGTCAACAAACATCAGACCAGTTGAACTGTCCATAACTATCAAATTTGGCTTTGGAAGTGTGGGATAGCAGAAGTATTTCCTTCAGTGAAGATCAGATTGTGACGAGGACATGCTGACATTAACGCCGACGTTTTATGATTGATGCCTTTAAATTCTACATTTGGAAGTGATACTTTAAATAACCCACGATCTCACACTCCCAATCAATCTTCATCATCGTTCACTAAACCAGTTTAAAAAAGAATAACCTGAAGACATCTGTTAGGGGCTGAAGGGCAGAAGAGTGGAGGGAGTGGACGTTCCAGCCATAAGCCCTCCACCTACTTCATCAGGGGAATTGAGGTCCAGGTGTGTCTCCTGGCACACCTGGACCATCATCAAGGGGTGGGTGAATAAAGGCAGGGGGGGGGGGGACAGGTTGGGAGGGGAGCAGTGTGGGTGCGCGTTGGTAAGTTAAATTTAGTTTGGCGAACACGCTGGAGCTAAACTTGGTTATCTGTTTTCTTTTTATCATGTTTTAGTCAAATGTTTGAACACATACAATCAGCCTCTGCCTCTTGACTGCTGTGCTGTCTTCTTTGTCTCAATCCTCTTACAACATCATCGACCCAAATCCTAATACTTTCCTGTTTTTTGGGTGTCCATCCATGTTCCTGATGGAGCCGGCTGACTCACTACTACCCACCCCCCTCTGTTTCATGCACAATCCTGTTTCAGTACAACTCCCTGCATCCTGCCAATGAATCCCACAGAGCGGTTACAGAGTAACCACCGGGATGCCTCCAGCTGGCAGGATAAACACGGGGACAAATCACTACACTATCTGTCAAAACACCACATGTCACACCATTGCCCATGCTCTACCTGCTGCTCACCAGGCGAGTGCCGTGAACAATTTAGTGTAGGCCCACGTGCCATGTGTTGCACGTGTGCATATTATTTGAGCTAAATAAGCACGATGTGTCAAAGTGACAGGCTTTGTTTTGTAGCACAAAGACGCAGCGATTCGTGTCAGAATAGATGCAGCATCTGTGTACAGTAGCACCCGTCAACAGTCCGTGTGGGAGGGCTTTCAAACGTCTCTTTGGTGTTCCAATTAAGAGCCATTTCATTTTTGGAACTATTGTGTCCAGGTGAGACACTCTATAAATCATCATTCCATCTGTTTTCATCATCATCGTTTTTATGATAGACTCAAACAACATTTGGAGTCAAAGGTGTCAATAATAAATCCCTAACTTCTTGATATAAAGATGTGGGACTGCAGCTGATAAAGCTGATCCACATTAAATGTACCTGCAAAGGCACTTAGCCTTAATGCAAAATGCCCAATTCTCCATCTCTGCATATTCAAGCCCAGTTCTGCTCCAGGTGCAAAGAGTATATTTGAATAATATCATGCAGTCCTGCACTCAAGACAGAATTATGCTTTATCATGTGAAATTACTCTGCAAACATCCATTGTTATGTCCCTATCCTTAGTGAACACATCTGGACGCCAACTAATATAGTAAAAATAAACAAGGTTATGACAATAAGACAACAGCACTCAATCAGGCCCTCACCTCTCTTTTTGCGTGTTGATTTATAGAGATCTGTTTAAGTCAACAAGTAAATTGAAATTAGACCCAAATGTGTTCTTTATGCAAGATAAATAATTGGGATTGGGTGAAAATCACACTTGTCACAATACATTTGGATCCCTGTGAAAGCTTCCCTTCATAGTTTGAATCAAACGGTTCTGGTTTTAGCTGCCTTGAGAACCTTATTGTATACATGTTACATAACAGCTCACATGCAAATGTTGTGGATTAAACATAATGCCGCTCAATGCTTATGAACTCACGGCTTTGATGCGATTGGCCTGCACACACAAAAATATGCATCTCAATAAAAGTGATTCACATGAAAAACATTCAAAATACTCAATGTTTAAACAAGCTGAATATTCCCAGAAGGATGGCAGCGCGTTTCTTGTGTGTGTGGTGGTCGCAGGACCAGCAGCGTCCCCGGCACGAGTAGGAAGGTGTGGGTTTGCATTGGAATGAGCGCTGGATGGAAATCACGAGGAGTGACGTGGAATTGAGGGGGGGGGGGGGGGAGAAAGAGGTGGGTGCAAAGAGAATACGAGGGGAAGCAGCTACTTAGTTCATTTCCAGTCCAGCCTCTGGCTGCACATAAACACACACACACACATACTGGCGTTTGGTGGTGGGGCACGTGGACCTGACAACAAAAGGACGCACAGGTGGCCAGGATAGGACCACCACTAGTGTCGGAGACCAGCTCACTGAACTGAACTATTTTCTTCTTCCTTTTTGTGTGTCATATCTCCTGGGGACTAAGGCGGCAGTCACGCTGGAGGTGAACGTCACAGAAGCGTTAATTGCTCACGTAGGTAAGCCGATATGTCCACGCGCTCACCACCAGCTGACACCAAAGCCAAATATGCCGCGAACGCACGCGTCCTCCCGACGGCTCACGCGTCCTCGTCTTTAAAGTTACACATCTTTTATTTGAACCCTTTCCGTGTCGCACTTTTTTTTTATATTCGGCATGCTCGCGCCGGAATATGTGACGCTGTAGAGGATCATCGACAGGCGGTTATATTGACTCATGACTGCCGCTCATCTGCGCCTCGGGCGCACAACTCGGGCGCACTCTGACCCGCGGCGCGAGTCGTCATGAGGCACGCTGTCATCTCCTCGTCTTAAGAGCACTTAATCTGTCATTAGCGAGTTATTTTCAGGCAGTGCTGCACACCAGCGACGGTCACCGGCTGGCTCCTGCACCGGCCGCCCGAACCTTCGCCCCGGTTTGGGTTCCTTTCTAACATCGGCACCGCTTGTTGACTTTTTTTGTTCGTTAGAGGAAAAAAAAAAAAACTTCCCGGTCTCTCTCTCTCTCTCTCCCTCCCCCGACCCTCTTCCCGTGTCCTTCCAGACAGCACGGCCGTACTTGTGAGCCTCGGCACCGCGATGGAGACGGAGCATTTCGACGAGCGCGACAAAGGTCAGCGAAACAGCCGGTCCAGCGCGAGGATGAACGGCGTGCCGAGTCCGACGCACAGCGCGCACTGCAGCCTGTACCGGACCCGGACCCTGAAGACTCTCGCCACGGAGAAGAGGGCCAAGAAGGTTCGCTTCTACCGCAACGGAGACCGCTACTTCAACGGGATAGTATACGCCATCTCCACGGACAGGTTCCGGACCTTTGACGCACTGCTGGCGGACCTGACCCGCTCCCTGTCCGACAAAGTCAACCTGCCGCAGGGCGTCCGGACCATCTACACCCTGGATGGCTGCAAGAAGATCGCCAGCATTGAGCAGCTGGTGGAAGGTGGGTATCCTAAACAGCACGCCTGTGGGACCAGCAGTAAACGTGCAGGTTCATGCGTTCCCATCGTGCACCTGGACTCAGTGGGGTTTTATCAGCAGATTAGGCCAATCGGATATATTCTTCCCCTAAAAAGAACAAGCACTACCTTTGTCTCCTGCAAGATCTTTACAAGCAACCCTTTGTAAAACTGGCCAAGCACACTTCAGATTATTGTGGAGATTCTAAAGGCCTATCACTCATTCAGAGGCCATATGGTGATACAGACATATGTTTTGGCTCAGATTATCTCTCTCCTTATTTACTCTCTAAGAAGTGACAATGAGAAGAACTATGAGTTGTTGACGTCATCGTCTGTTGGTAGGAAAATATAGGTCAGTATTGAGCCTACAGAGGGATGAAGGAAATTATGCAGTAAAATATCCCATATTGTTATAATTTACATGTTAATTACTGTATTATCCTGCTCGTTCCTAGAAGGACATTGCTATGTATCTTCTTAACTTTCTTTTGTTCTTTTATATCCTCTACAATTCGCACTCTCTCATAGAGCTTCTCAGTCCTTTTTGTTATTTCTGCAGCTCATCTCCTTTTCCTCTAATGTTTCAGTAAGTAACCCCTCCCCGCGTTCTCCCCTCTCGCCATTCATTTCAACAGGTGACAGCTATGTGTGCAGCTCTATTGAAGCTTACAAGAAGTTGGATTACACAAAAAACGTGAACCCCAACTGGTCTGTGAACGTCAAGGCCTCGGCCGCGTCGTCCCGCGGGCCTCCGTCTCTGGGCAGCGCCAAGGCCGGCGCACCAGAGAGCCGCGAAATCAAGGACTTCATTCGTCCGAAGCTTGTGACGGTGGTGCGGAGCGGCGTGAAGCCCCGCAAAGCTGTGAGGATCCTTCTGAACAAGAAGACGGCCCATTCCTACGAACAAGTCCTGACCGACATCACTGAAGCCATCAAGCTGGACTCGGGAGTGGTGAAGAAGATCTACACTCTGGAGGGTAAAATGGTAAGAAGTCTTTGGCCAAACAATCATCATCGTCGGCTATGAGTTAATTGAAAGTGTCTGCCTTTGTGTCGCTAAAAGGGTCAAATTCAGATCAACAGGCGGATCAGAGAATCGAAAAAAGTGACACATGGAGACAAAAAGGGGTTGAGAGAAGGTAAAGAAAATAAATGTTTGAATGGAGTCTGGATCCTCAACTCGGCTGCAGTGAATGTGTGCCAGGGCTTTGCCTCCTAATCGGAGTCACGGCCTCCTTGTTAGTCCACCCACCTATTCTGCTCCCTCTCTCAGCTGCGGAGGTAGACGCTATAAAAAGAACATGCTTTCATGCTTTCCACCCATTCATGTATTCTCTGTACAGCGCTACGGCACAGACCTTTGCTATAGTTGGATGAGGTCAAACGCGCATTCTCCGTGCCGGCACACGTCCGTGTTTGCGTGTATTTGTCAAAGAGGGGCAGCCACAGAGATTAAGACAGCAACTCTGCAATTTGTGACATGTTTTTTTCTCGGCTCTTTTCCGGTTTGCCCCCATGTCACGTTTTGCCCACTCGTGTCATTGCCCTGTCTGTCTGTCTGTCTGTGTGTGTCCCAGCTCGTCCCTCTCTCTACATCACAGCTACAAGTCATTGAATGAAAGGTTACTGAAGCACTTTCCCCCCTGGCAGCAGCATCAGAACGACACCATCATTTTGAAACCGATTGCATTTGAAATCGAGGGCGTCCTGCCATTTTGTGTCTCACACTGGTAATCATCGTCTAAATGACCACTTTGTGATTCATCCTCGTGAATATGGTCTTTTTTCCTTTTTCTTTTCACTCTTAATTGCTATTTAATACTCTGAATTAGGACTTGAAAACACAAATCTTGTGTTGGCACTGGTGTGTCTTCCTGTCTCTGAAGCCATGCTGTCTGTGTAATGATCCACTGTTAACTCAGTAGGAAGTCACTCCAGATCCCCTGACCTGACCTGCTGTCAGGTCCCAGCACCAGCCAATAAAATCCAAGAACCAGGCTTTCCTTGAGAAACCTGCTGTTGAGGATTAAACTTTTGCACTGTACATGCTAACTGTAAGGTTAAGGTCGCCTTCGGCTCCGATTATCTTTTGAGACTGCACAATAAATACCAGTTCACCCCTCTATCAGAAGTAAGACTATTATGGTTGTGCTATTTTTAGACGCTACATTGATTGGGCCTGTAGGCATGGCAACACGCTTGCTGCCAAATATGATGGGTTGGGCTGAGTGCAGAACCAACTCCTTTTGATCTTTTTGTATGTATGCATGCGTGGGTGAACGGATGTTGGCGGGTTTGCGATTATGTTATACAACAAGAAAGTAGAGAATTAAGGGAAAATTCTTAATAAACTGGATTGGCGCTTTTAGTGAGTTGCCCACCTGTGTGTTTTGTGCATAACAGTAAATCCTGGACCTGAACAGCCTTCCGTTTCCGAAGAGGTGAAAAGTCTCTATAGGTGAAATGTGTTTAATCCACATTTTATTTATTTGTTTAAGCATTGCACAGAAAGAGAGAGGCAGAGGCTTAGTTTAACAAGAAAGTCAAGTACATCTGAATGGAAAAACAATCCAAACAATAAAATATGTAGGAGTTGAGGCTGGAGGGATAGGATGACCGGTTAACAAGCCGCATGTCAATGCCACTTGAATATCGAAATATGAGTTTGCGAATGGTAATTACCAGAGTGCTCACCAGGATCAAGGTTACTATAAGGGCTAAGTGGAGTACGTGTGTGTGTGTGTGTGTGTCTGTGTGTGCGTGCACAGAGGCGTCAGCAGAAGTAGGTTTCTGGGCCTGACTGCCACGTTGCGTTGAGTCCCAGCAGAGCAAAAGCACCCGAAGAGAAAGCATCGGAGTATCCGAGCAGCGCAGCTTTCATTAACCCCTTTAATGAGGCCACAGACAGTGAAGCAGGATGTAGACGCGTCTCCCTAAAGCCATATTATTCCCCTATAACAGTTTACGGGACAATAGGCGGATTCTTTTACGCGATTCCTTTTTGAAGTTGAATTATTCTCTTAAGACTTTTTTGAGAAGTTCAATTCCGTTGGAAACTCTGCGGCTAAACCGTGTGCGATGAATAATGGATTATGTTTTTGGTATTTGAAGTGTTCGACAGTCTGTTTTTAGCTGCCGTTGCTTCTGTCCGTCTGCTTGTTTCGCTTTTCATTTACGTGTGTTTGTGTCAAATTATTAACTGAGCCTTTTCTATTCCAATTACTGGGTTTTAATGTTGATATCAAAATAATACACTGTATGAACCTTGCTTTTGAGGAGGATACTTCAGACAAACATCCATCTGTTTGTTTTTACAAAGGGAACCAAAATTTGAATTGTCGTCCAAACACAAATGCTTGTGTACAGCATACAAAAATGAGACCAGCTGATTGTCGCCAGTAGCACATTTCCATCACTAACAAAGATAATCCCCAGTTTATACAAACATATGTCTGCTATACAAAGGTTTTGATATTTGTCATCACTGTTGCAGCCTTTTTGGATCGGGCAGTATTCTGGGAGAACTGATACTGAGATGCAGGAAGAGAGGAGACGACATGTGACAGGCTGTGAACAAGTAACTGAAGGCATCTGATACGCTCCCTGCACTCGAGCTTGCTCTACTAGGATTGTTGTGGATATTGTGTTTCTGTCCGTAATGTGACCGACTGAGTGAGGAGGAATATATCAAGTTCCACCCTCACTGTTTGTTCTCGCTCTACATGACGGTGGGGGGTATTTTTAGCTCCGCTCTCTCTTTTCGAGGTTACCACAACCTCGACGTTTTCAGCCAGCTCTCCAGCGTGGCCGGTTTCTATGATGGTTTGATCCAGTTGCCTAGGAACCGACCTGCCGTGATGTCATGCAGCAGCATGGTGAGATGGTGTACCTGGATTGGTCTGATACAGAAGAGCGACGACTCGTAAGTGGCTTAGAACCATCGCTGGCCTATTAATACACGTAAGCTCTGTTTACACACACAAACACAGACACAAAGACAATGCCGGACCCCAGTCGACAGACTTAAGACTCACGCACACTTAGGCATGGATAGTGACACACACTCTTAATGGACTCCTCTAGATTTCTGCTCATCACTGGCCATTAACCCGAGACGATTATCAGCCAGTGCATGAAGCTTAATTAACTCTGAGGTCTGATGCATTCTGTCTTTGTATCTCAGTGGGTCTAGTTTGGACCTCAAATCCACAGTTGTGAAGGATTAGTCGCATAAAATTACACGCACAAAAGACAGGATGGTTTAAATTCAGCTACCGTGACATTTCTGTCTTTATGGTTCAGAAAGGTCTGAAATGGTATTTTTTCCATAATCTGGGTTACTTTGTAAAAACTTGGACGACGTGCTTATTTTCCTCATGCTGTGAAGCGCTGTCTGCACTTGCTGATGATGTTACTCGCCGTTCAACTCGATGCGATCGGTCCTTGTGGAATTTAAAATGTTAACAAGTTACTTCACACTTAATGTCTCTTTCGGGCAACCATTGTTTTCTTCCTGTCCGTCATATTGAGCACCCACAATACCGTGGCATGTTTTCACACTAATTAAATGGTTGATGCTAAATAGAGGCTTAATGTGGGAGTGGAGCGTAAGAGCCACTGGTCCACTTTCTTTAGTGCAGCTCTCACTTGTCGAGCTGCACTGGGGGCCTGTCGTCCTTGGCGATACTTAAGAGCTTTTAATATCTTTTTGTCTTCGGTTTTCTCTGCAAGCTCCTTCTCACTGAGCCTCTCATTTTCTCTCCACCCATTACTGTTTCTGCTTCTCACTTCGTCTGCATCATTGTTTCTCCTGTTATGTAATGTTTACCTTTCTTTCTGTTGAACACCTACTCTGACATGTTTTTCCCACCTTCCTTTGATTCATTTCTGATTCACATGTGTGCTCTACGCAAGGCAATTTTATTTGTATAGCGCTTTTCATACACAAGGCAGACTCAAAGTGCTTCACATCATAACATTTTATACAATAAAGTGAAATAAAATTCAGGAATTAAAATACAATTAAAAACAGCAAATAAAATGATAAATTAAAATCTTATTTAAATTATTTAATTTTAAGGCAGAGGTTAAACGTGCAATGTAGATAAAATTTAGCAGAAGGCGAAGCTGAACATAAAAGTTTTCAGTCTTGTTTTAAACGTGGGGCAAGTCTTAAATCTTTAGGAAGTTTATTCCAGCTGTTTGTTGCGTAGTAACTAAATGATACTTTCCCATGATTTGTATTTAATGGGATTCACTAACAGATTGGTGTCAGAAGATCTTAGTGATCTTGAAGGCTTATGTAGTGGAAGCATATCAGTGATATACTTTGGCCCTAAACCATGTAGTGATTTATATGTGAGCAGTAGGATTTTGAAATTAATTCTCTGACATACTGGGAGCCAATGTAAGGATTTAAGAATTGGTGTAATGTGCTCACATGTTTTGGTCTTTGTTAGAACTCTAGCAGCAGCGTTCTGAACAAGCTGGAGCTGCCTGACAGTTTTTTTTGGAAGACCTGCAAGGAGACCATTACAATAGTCTTGCCTACTAGTTATAAAGACATGTATAAGTGTTTCTAAGTCTTGAGCTGACATGAGCCCTCTAAGTCGTGCGACATTTTTGAGGTGGTAGTAGGCCGATTTTGTTACTGATTTGATGTGACTCTCAAAGTGTAAATCTGAATCCATAATAACCCCCAGATTTCTGGCTTTATTTGATGTTTTCAGGGACAAAGAGTGAAGGTGTTGGGTTACTCTAAACCTTTCTTTTTTAGCACCAAATACAATGATCTCAGTTTTGTCTCCTTATTTAGTTGTAGGAAATTTTGACACATCCAGTCTTTGATTTGCTCAATGCACTGGCACAGAAGATCTATGGGGCGATAGTCGTTTGGTGATAGCGCTACATAGATTACTCGGCCCTTAAAGTAACCTCATCCTGGTGAGCACTCTGGTAATTACCGTTCCAAACTCGTATTCCATA